TCCTCAACACATCAAATTAGGACCGCATAGAGCTGATCCAAGACTCGATGTTGTCCTTCACGTCATACTTGGACGGGATCTATGTCGCCTGTCTGTACACGTAGGGAATGCTGTAACTAGGACCTCAACTGCTGTGTCCAGACTTGGGGCTGTAGCAGTTCCAAAATTCCCTGCACTGCTACTTGCCGCTGCAGCAGCAACAGCAGGGTCTGCACCTGCTGCAGCTCCCGATAGGTTGGTGACCACACTCAAAGAAGGAGAAAGAGAAAAAGACAGTAAGAGCGGCAAAAATGAACTGATTCGCAACATTGGAAGCAGCGGAAACAGGAGGGAGGATAATCTGGGCCTGCCACAGATTTGCAAACTGCTGCAGCTGGTCACGGTGCTGTTGTGCCACCCTGGCCACTCGCAGCTTCCCGAGTTCCTCAAACACTCGCGCGCTCTGGCCAGCATTGTCCTCAACAACCCATCTGAGAAGTGGAACGGTCTTCTCCCCCACCTCAACATCAGTCAAGGCGGGCACAGTACTGAAGACAGCCTCATGGGCTTTCACTTTATCTCCCTTCTCCCTCCCCCTCTCTTCCCCTTCCCTCTTAAACCATCACTACCTTGCCAAGTTGTAGTCCCATTTGGGAAAATGACCTCAACCGCAAATTCGGGGGGTCTGGCATAGGGTCGGTAGGAATGAAAAAAAAAATGAAAAGATCGGTGAGGGGGAAAAAAAAAAGTACTAAGAACGTTGAATCCAGCAAGGTCGGGGATGACCCTCACAGAGGTGGAAGTCACACCAGTCCTTTGAGGAATGTATCTGCCCAGTATGTGAGGAACATGGTGCTTATGTTTTAGTTTTCCTTTTACCTCGTTTCATTTCTTTTCTGTGCCGTGCCAGAGAGGCAGGACAAATTCCAAGGGGGGCCAACTAATTGCCTTAGTCATGTTGTACTCACACCAGCACAATATCGTTCTGTATCTGACCGCCATCGCATCAAAAGGAGGTTTTTTTTTTTTTTTTTTCTGTTCTTCGTGTATTATCATCTGGGAAGGCCCTGACCCGAGGTGGAAGTCAGACCAGTGCTTTGGGGAACGTATCTGGCCATTATGTGAGGAACATTATTGCCTATGTTTTCGTTTTTATTTGCCTGGGTTCATTTCCTTTTCATGCCCTGCCAACGAGGCAGGGCGGTTTCCATGGGAGGCAGCTAACTGCTTCACTCCCATCGTACTCGCATGAGCACTGTAGCGTTCTGTATCCAACTGCCATCGCATCATAAGGGAGGGTTCTATTAATTTTTGTTCTTCATTTGTTTTTCATCGGGACTAATGCCCTCACTGTGAACGGGGTCTCACCAGCACCTCGTGGAATGTATCTGAGGGCTATAACGGCGTTAGGGAAGTTTCCATTTCTTTTCTCCTTTTTTTCTTTTTTGTTCTTTTTAGGATATAAAGGATATAACTGTCGTGAGTAGTACAAAAGAAAATGCGGTGGGACCCAGACTCGGCAAAGCTCAATGCGCAGTGTAAATCAGGCTCGACAAAAACAGGATCGGAGGTAGTGGTGGCTTAAAAGAACAGATACTCGGCTTTCTGCCTCAGGGGCATCGTCCATCTGCAGCTTCCATTCCGCTGCAGTCGTCATGGTGGAGGATGAGGGTGTAAGTAAGTCTCTCAAGAGGGTCCCGCAATGTCTCACAGTTTGCTGCCGAACACCCCTCTTCCCTCTCCTCACTCCCTCAAGAGCAACTCTGAAAAGCTTATCTTCTCTCTCTCTCTCTCTCTCTCTCTCTCTCTCTCTCTCTCTCTCTCTCTCTCTCTCTCGTTTACGATCGCGCCAAAGCGGGCATTTAAAAACCCAATGGAAGAAACAAACTGAAAATCACACAGAAGAGAAGGTAGAACTCCTAGCCAGAGCGGCAATTCATTTGAACTGGAGAGCAGTGATAAAAAAAAAATAAAAAAATTCGAGATGAGTCTTGATCTAGCGGCCCAGCCTGGCCTGGTTTAGTCGGAGATCCCCTCCTGCCCAATCTGATTCAGTTCCGTGAACTTACAGCAAATCAAAGCAAAAAGCAACAATCACGACACAATGGAGAATTGAGTGGTGTATAAGGTGCGAGCCAAGTGGCCAACCGTGCGGTAACGTGTGCAAAACATCTCACGGCAGCGAGTGCTCTAACCAAAAATAAAACTCCGATTTCCAGCAAGACAGAGAAAAGTGCAATCAGACTCGGCTTATTCACACTTGTCGTGCATGCAAACAGCATTACAGCAAACTGGCGACATGCGCCCACACAACACTCAAAGATATCGTAACCAGATAAGAGTTCTCTTCCAACTAGCTATGGCGACTGTGCGCCCACACAACTCACTGTTCGCACTCTGGATCACCCTGGATGTCCCACACGCAACACTCAGTATCCATACGCAAAAACACATCTAGATGTGTATAAGAGACAGGGTCTGGACATCATCATTGGTCGTGTCATCGGCGT